ACTGAAAGAGTGAGAAGTTTCTAAAAACAGCCGTACTGGCTCACCCCCAGCTTCATCACTAATGATTCATCAGAGCAGGAACTCTTTCTCCTTCTCCCCTCCACGCTCCTATTCTTCCTTCCGTTTCAACCTCTGATTTCAGACTTCTGAGGGTGATTTGCAACCCGCCTGTGTGTGATCATCACCAGGCCATTGTGTTTTGCTGAGATCCACAACTAATGGAGCTCAAAGCGTCCCTACAAAAGCACCTCTCGCTCTGTGTCGGCAACAGGTGCCTGTGTACGGCTGCCTGCGTTAATGTAAGACCTTGACGCCACGCGGTGCTGCAGAGCCTGCGGAACAGTAGATCACAAGTGTCACACACACGCACACACACACACACACGCACACACACACTCAGAACCTCTTCATGTAACTGCAACATAATCACAGGTGGCAGCTCCTGTATCCTTTACATGTCTGTCTCTAAATGAAAGGGTTACACCTCCCAGGGAGACGGCTAAGTGGGATGTACTGCCGCTTCTATGGCTACAGGTATGACACATTTTCACTATTTTCAGACCGATGTAAAGTGGTGGAAATGATGCAAAGAGAGGGAGATAGAAAGAGAGGGAGAGGGAGAGAGAGAGAGAGACACAGCAGGGAGGTTGCTGGTCAGTAAGAAGATTTGGTAATAAAAAGGCTTTTGTTGGCATGAGTCATGGAAAAAAAAGAAGAAGAAGAAAAAGAAGAAAAATGCTCTGGGTAAAAGAATTAGCTGTAATTCCCACAGGGAACTCACAAGGGATTAATAAAGTGCTATCCATCCATCCATCCATCCATCTAACACGTCTCTGCAGCCACTTTTGCAGATGTGGGTGTCACCACAGTAGAACCCATGTTGTATGTTTGGTAATACGGTGACATCATTTTCTTGCTGCTGCTCTTGAAGGAGCCTGTGACTGATGTGGAGGTGAAAATTGTTTCTACACTTTCATCTTAGTCGTGTCTTTTTCATCCATCCTTCAAAGGCAGCCAGGCTGCCCTGTTTCCACGGCCATGATAACACTAAAGATCCCAGAGTTATAGGCCCAATTGGACGTTGTGAAGTGTTGGGGTGGACAACTGTGTGTTCACCATATACGGGTCCCAGAGTGGAGGAGTTTGGAAGCTTCTCCATCTCCATGTGAACAGAGCAGTGAGACGATAGGATCACCTTTAACACCAGTAACCCTACTCAACGCCTCACAATAACAACAATGCCGGAAACCATGCTACATCTGAAGCTAATTCAGCTAATGTGTGCACTAAAGCCATCCCTTTTTTTTTTATGTCTCCCTTTCGAGTTTGTTTACAGTTTGCTTCATGCGCATGCTGTGTGGAGGAAAATTAGGTCCTGGTCGGAACAGAGCATTCCAACCTGGGTGTTGTCCCGTCGTTTGGCACTGATCTACTGATATATGGTCACATCATTCCT